AAATTTGTATTTTGTTTTATTCCAAAAACGGACAGAACTTTCCGGTAGACCTAATATATATACATATTTTCTTATTATTTTATTTTACATCTTAAATAGATAATAAATGGATAATTGTATTGCTGGTATATATCATTAACCTACAATAAAATCTTACTTTATAATATTATATGTATGAAGATTAATTGAATCTTATTTCAATATTTCAACATCCTTACGTGCAATCATTTCACTTTTCGCTTTTCACTTTTCGTATGCTGAAAATATTACAAAATTATAAGATATCGTTTAATATTAATAATTGAATTTGATGTGCATGTTTATCTATATCCAAAATTATTATTTATTTAAAATTTCATGAAAAATGTTACTGCGCGTACATTTCAAAACTTTATAAAAAGATAGTTCATACTTTAGCCGCTAGTTCGTTTATTTACCGCTATGCGACGCGCGATGCGCCCCATCTCGTATTTGAGTTTCAGTCATGAGAAGTATATAAAGCTTGCAAAGAGCAACTGGCAGAAGATTGAAAATGTAATTACTTCTATTAATTTAATTTCTGATACAATCCCAACATAGGGAATTCAGTAATGTTACCGTCTTACAATTTAAGATGTGACTTTATTGGGATATTGGTGTGCCTTGAAGGCTATTATTCATACATCAAAGCTCCATGAAATATCCATGATTATACCATATGATGTCCATGTGACATCTATGAATACGTCTAATGGATGTCGAATGGAAGTAAGAAATGCGGATTGTGGATGTCTAGTAGATGTCTATAGGAGATTACATGGACATCTAATAAAGGTTTCGAATCTCCATGATGGATGTCTATTGGACATCCATTAGAGGTTTTTGTTCCGTGTGGGAACTTACTAGGAGTTGTATTAATAGATTTATGTAATGTGTTATTTAACACAAATTTCGCTTTTTCTAATATGTTTTTTTCATTTCGACGGTTCTTCTGCTAATTTTGACAGAGTAGATTTAAGAAAGGACCCCGCAGAATCCTTATGGGAAATGGCTTTCGGCTATGTGTGTGTGTGTGTGTGCGCGCACACATTATTCATCAATAATCTCAATATTCCGAGGATTATCTAGAAGTTCTCGGTCTGCGGCATCCAATGTGGTATTGAGCAATGACATGCCAGGGTATTTGATATTTCCCTGATGTGCAAAACCTAGGTACCACAAGACGCTGGCAACGTGTGCACATGTACCTAGAGTACGAGCTCCAGACTGACACGTACAATAATATCCATTAATTGGCTCATTAGCATTGTCAGCAGCATTCTCATCATCCCTATTGTTACGTTCGCGCTGGATGCTCGGTGTTATGTTCGTGCTGGATGCTTGGCGAGACATTAGCTGCAAGGCGTTCTCCCTAACAACGAGGGGGTTTTGTTAAACGAAGTAGTTGTGGTGGTTTTCCGGGGGCTTTCGGTCTGGAAAGACGCGTGTCATATTCGGTTACGAATATTAATGAATGCTGTACTCTTGTTGTATATAATATTTCTGTGTATAAAGTTGTTCTCCTTTTTACGGAAGTGTCCTTTTATTGCGTGTGCGCGAGTGTGAGAAAGTGAGAGAGCGACGAACGCAACATTTTGGGGGCTCGTCCGGGATAGTCATCTCGATATCGGAATACGAAGATGAGTACGTTACATTCACCGAGAAGGACCCGAGCCAGGACAGAAACACCACCTACTGACGATATGAGGCCCGCGACGGAAACAACATCTCTTGGAGCGATACTGGAGGAGATGCGGAGAATGCGCGAGGAGCAAGCTCGGAGGGAAACAGAGCTCACAGCGAGACTTCATCAGTTTGAAGATGAGCTCACACGAAGAAGAAGGAAGCCTGGCCAGCTCTCTATCTTCAAGAAAATTCGCAATGAAGTCCCAGAATCGTAGGTGGAAATGGATAAAACTGGAGCCTGGTAACTCGTGGCAGCAGCTCGAGGTAGGGCAAGAGACCATTTTTGGTGCCCTGAATCTTCAAGAAGGTCCCGAAGTCGTAGGTGGGACGCGATGGATGCTCGGTGTTATGTTCGTGCTGGATGCTTGGCGAGACATTAGCTGCAAGGCATTCTCCCTAACAACGAGGGGATTTTGTTAAACGAAGTGGTTGTGGTGGTTTTCCGGAGGCTTTCGGTCTGGAAAGACGCGTGTCATATTCGGTTACGAATATTAATGAATGCTGTACTCTTGTTGTATATAATATTTCTGTGTATAAAGTTGTTCTCCTTTTTACGGAAGTGTCCTTTTATTGCGTGTGCGCGAGTGTGCGAAAGTGAGAGAGCGACGAACGCAACACTGTTATCAATCTCATATGAAATGAAGATCTGATGTCTTGTTGCATTACGAAATCTGGAATACAACCTAATTCTCAGAAAATCTGGCTCGTTGAAATGTTGATCAAGTTGAAATTCCTCATCATTATCCCTTAGTAGCTTATCTTAGATATATGAAGGTGCTAGATTTATTTGATAAATGCCCACAGTCAAATCTTTCAGGTAATTCAAATCAAGTATAGGGAAATCTGCCACGTCACGATAATTGCGCCGTCTCCATTGGCCATTTCTTAGTCGCAAGTTATCTATCTCTACTCTCGTTTGTACGACATTAGGAGTTGTCGATCTCTGTAGCATTTCTCTAGCAAGCTGAGCATCTGCACCTTGCATTTGGATAATAGGATGATACCTGTTTAGTATAGCTCCAGCTATGCGATAGAATCCATTAAGGTTTCTTGCGTGCTGTAGATTTATTGTTTGTGCTAAGAACTTGAAAACTGACCTCAAGTAGCCATTCCGTGCTTCGACTATCCAGCGATTTTTTGTAACGTTACGTGAATCAATCGCATCTTGCGTTGGAAGTTGCCTTTGTCCGTGTTCAAGCAGTGCAGGCATCTTGTGATCAATGCCTAAACGCTGGAGTAAGGATATTGCATCACGATAACCTCTATCCACCAAAACGATGTCACCATTCTGAAACCAGCCTTGTAATGTTTCTGCATCTATCTCAAACTCTTGACGGAGGATTTCGGCATCATTATTTCGAGCATCAGAGAAATAGGGACCAAAAATCGTTAGAATGTAACCATCGGGAGCTACAACTAAAGTTGGTTTAAGGAGATGTCGATTTTTGTGAACGGAATAGGATTGGCGCAATACCCGAAAATTGTTACTTTTATGTATATACGCGTAGGTACTGTCAATCACAGCGACAGCTCTTGGTTCTTCGGGTTGAGGATTATACAGCTCATTTGCAAACTGCGTCACATGCTGCATAATAAACTCTTGCCTTGTTATTGATTCGGGTCCCAATGTTAGTCGGGACGAATCTCTGTAATAAAGATGTCCTAACAGAACTGACAGTTTGTCTACTAGGATAATCAAAAATGATTTTGAAAAAATCGTCACTCAATTCCTGTCTTATCTTGCACAAGAAGATCAACATATCCTTTCTACTTACGTATCTTAGTTTTCCATTTCGAAGTACAGGATCACAATAAGTAAAAAGTTCTTCAAACTGTTTATTGATTGGTGCTATACACTGAAATTCCTCATCAGTTAAGTGATTTTCATCTATACCTCTTGTTCTATTTGCACCCACGTTTTTCAGTTGCTGTAAAAAAACTTGCAACTGTGGACCCTTGATAACATAAGGTCTGTTGATGAAACGTAGTGCAGGTAATAATATTTTCGAAAAAAAGCCATTCTCATTCAAATGATGTTCACAACTTCTCACATTAACCGGTATATAGATATTTGTTTCTATGAAGACCTGAACTCTGCATTGTATTGATAATTTTCGTACATTATTTTGAGCATTACAAATGACGCAAGTCTGGGATGCTGTTTGAGTCAAGACATTTAATCGTAGACAAGTAGGATCTGCCTCGATCATAGCCATTTCATCAATAATTGACCGATTACAGTTCATACACAACCTTGAATTATTATCAAGATGTAAAGGGGGGTGGTCAAACTCATCACGCCTTGTAATAGCTATTTGGCGTTTATTTACGTTCTCATCACCATCCATACGTGCCAATTGACGAACATTGAACGGTCTATTACATGTATAACATAGCGGCCGTACTATGGCAGCCATTTTTTTCACTGGAGGATGACGGTGAAGTGAACGGGAACTTTTTTTAAGCAAACTATCAATAACAGATTTTTCTATTGGGATAATGAATCAATCTACATTCACCAGCGGATTATATTTACCAGAAGAAGTTATTCGTACTTGAAGGGATATTACCTAAAAGTGACGTATGATACGGAGAAAGAAAAATGTTTCTTTTCTCAAGAAAAATATCTTGATTATGAGTAGAAGGGATGAACAATTGACAGTATAACAATGTATCAATACTAAAATAAGGA